ATCATTCCTTTACGAGAAATCGGAGCAAACAAGAATCTCATGTTCGTCAAAGAACCGGTCGAGGTATTGGATAGGGAAGTAGAACATACAAAGCAAAGCCCATTATGATTGTGAAGGTTCCATGGAACGCTAAGCGTGGACCGAAATTCACTTGGGAAACGTGAAGATCAGATGAAGTGCCTATTATCTCATTCATGAACCTATCCTTAGAAAGAATTTCGGGACGAAATTCCCTCTAACGGGGGGATGATGTCACAACTAGCATTTTTAGCTAGGAAATTCTATTCTCATATAAACATCATCCTTGTAAAAGCATGTACTCTAAGTGAATACAATACTCTATCCTCGTTCAAAATACATCTCATATGTTCAACTAAGGGTTGGAAGCCCTAGAAATTCATGTTCAAATTAGTTATGGACTATGAATTCTTTATTGGATCTTATTGGGCTGGTAATTCCTCCCTTTGATCTACATTGGGCCGTGAACACACTTAAGGGCCCAATGGGTCGAATATTTTTTTTGGGCTTCATAACTTCGAACCAAGTCAAGAAAGGAGCCCAAAACCATTCTATCATTTTGTCAAGCCCATTCTCGGCCCAACTATTATATAAAAAAAAAATCTAACTAATTCATACAAAGACACCTCATTATGGACTATAGGATTTCTAGGCACATTACCCACCATGTAACAATAAATCCCATGCTTCCATGCTACCACACTTCAACATAATCTTCTCCTTTCCCTATTCTTCATACTCTCGGCCACCACCACCATCATTTAACTTTCAAAGATCTCTTCCATTTTACTCTCAAACTCAAGGAAATTTACTCACGTTTTCCCTTCAAATTTTCGAGTAATACAAGTGTGAATCAAGAGGATCATTGCAAGTTTTTCTCTAACTTGGTAAGTTATTGTCAAACAAAAGTATCTTCTTTCATCTTAACATGAAAAACTCCTTCTCACAAGGTTTTATTCCATGATCACACCTTAGAAGCTTCATAAAACTCGAGATCTACAACAAAGGTGTGCTAAGACCCAAAAATCTCTTCAATTCTTCATCAAAAACCGAAATATTCAAACAAGGTGAGCTTCATACCCCCTTATTTTCGGTTTTTATAAGTTTTTGTGGGGGAGAATACAAGTAAAGGTGTAGATCCATCATTATGTGTATGTTTTGGTTGATTTCTATGCTTATATGTATGTTTTGTATGATTTTGATGCTAGATCTAGTTATGAATTGCTAAAAACCGAGATATATCTTATACTAGCATGAAATATACTACTACATACAAAGTATACCAAGAAAAATAGCTAAGTGGCTTAACAATACATACTTTGGGCTAAAAACTCATTTTTTTGACATAAATGTTAAAAATACAAAGTTAAAGGGCCCAAAATGAAATATTTCGAAATCTGATGGGTGAGATGAGTCAAAACAGATTCCATAATGTATTTTCTGAAAATATACTCTTTTGGAAGATCAAAAACATAAATTTCAAGCTTAATGGGCTAAAAATGACAATTTCGGCCCAATAGGGCCCATTATGCGAAATTTTCTGTTTTGGAGGGCCAAAACTGTGTTTTCCTGTAAAACAGTGGACTATTAGTGTTACATGTACTTTTCAAAGGTTTAAAACGCTTTTCAAATTTAAAAAGGACCAAAGTTGCAAAAATTTTCCAAATTGGGCCAAAAATGTAAAAATTGAGAAAAAGAGGGGTTATAACCGAGAAAACTGCAATTTCAGGGACTTAAACTGTTTTAAATGAAAAATATGCTGAAAAATATTAATTTCAATAATTTTTGGTGTTAAAATGTCAAGAAAAATGGTTTAAGGACTAAACCGGAAATTATTTTACCTAAAGGGGTGAAAAAGTAAATTTACAAAATTAAGAGGGGTTGTAAACAGAAAATTTTCAAGGGTAATTCAATACATTCGTTGTGAACAAAGATTGACACTACGACTCTCGATAAATTACAATACACAATATCACCAACAATCGTTATCAAACGAATTGATTCGGTCTCGAATCAATAACAAATCCAAAACTACTAACACTATAACGCTCAATACACATATGGAACTCTTGGAACTCTTTACTCTTGTGGAATTACTCAATACATCAACGTACACTCCTTAGGCCCAAAAGTTGCAAATCATGCTTGTCGAGCCTAGCTAGCCCGATGACATGATCTTTAGGCCCAAAGGACACTTGCTTACATGTAGTTGGGTCTAATGCGACTCGACCGCGTGTAAAAGGACTTTCAATGGCAAACATGCTGCTGGTCCCCAAGGGTCATTCAGTGCTGCTAGTAAAGTCGGTAACTCACGATTGCGGGTTGGGCTTCGGGCCCTTCGCAATTGCATTGGTCTTGAACGACGCAGGGAAATACCGAGGGTTTCGCACCTTTACTTTTTCTCTCCGGTCGTGGGACTACACAAGTCCGGGAGGACTGAGTTGTGTGAATAAGTGCGAGTGACGCCCAAGGGATTGCTGGTACGGTTGTCGACTGTACATTTTCATTAACGGACTTTACAACAATTCACCACCCACTGTATACTCAATGCCTCCGGAGCTCAACGAATACCTCTAACGTAACGAAATAACAGTACACAAACTAAGTAAAGCAAAGTGATAGGAAAATGTCGGGTTTTCCTAGGGTTTTCAACTATTACACTTACGAATTACATGACGAATTTTACAACTCGTACGCTTACATCTATTGAAAACAAACAAGCATACTCACGGATCTTCACACTTTTTTTTACGCTATACTATTTTCAGAAAATATCGGATTTTCTGGTGGTTTTCGAAACAATACAAACATTGGATTTCAAACATTACTTATGAACTCACCAACATTTCATATGTTGACGTTTTTCAAAATACTTGTATTCTCAGGTAACAGATAAATCGACGGGATAAGTGTACTCAGTGACGTTTTGCTTCTTGTTTAATTAGCACCGAACAATCTACTTTTTGGGCAAGTAATGTTAGGGAACAATGTACTAAATGTAAACGCTACCAGTTGTATTATTCCAATGCTTGGTGATGTATGATGTTATGTTTCATGTATATTCATTGTGATGGTATTCAATTGAGTCACAACAGCCCCCGGATGTTTCCGCCGTCTGGTTCGGGGGTGTGACAAAACTAGACAAGATGATTTCCACGGGATCTGAACCTAATAGAATGTTACTTAAAGTAAGGGTAAATTGCGGAGAATAACAACGCAATTTACTCTTTTTACCATTATAGGTAATGTATTTTTTTTTACAGGTGATAGCATTATATGTTGTTAGTTACCCTAAAGTAAAAGTAGAACAAAATATAAAAACTCATAAATTTGTAATACAAATGAATACTTTACTTGTAGAAATCTCTCTCTCAATTGAGACAGCAGATTAACTGATACATCCCGAATGTGTTCTTCTCTAACAGACAAACTCTTTATGAGAAATCGAGCATGGACAACCAAAGTTGACTCTCTGACCTTAGCAGCATCTCCTACCAAGCTTATGAAGGGCATTAAGTTCTAATTCATCCTCTAGGCATTTTACAGAGCTCATAACCTGAAAAAAAAAAATTCCCAAAATTCATGTTTTTGGTTTTGCACATTTTACAGTTTTCACAAAAGCAGAAGAGTTAAACATAAGCACCTGGTGCCATTAGTTTCATGTGCAGATTCAAGAACATTGCAAAATGAATGTATGGAAAAAAAATGTTTATAAAAGAAAATATTGGCCCTAAAGTATTGGATTTTTTAACTATAAATGTATGTACACAAAAACCAAGTTCATAACTCCACATTGAATAAGCACATGTGAAAGACAGAATGAAAAGAAAACCTGAGTATCCTCAGAGAAAAAACTTATCACACTTTCAATCTCTAAGGATATTGTCTTATTGCTAACTTTTAACCTTTCGATATCTGAGACAAAATGCTCTACCCACCACAAAAGAAAATATGTGTGTCTCTACTAACTTTTGGATCAATATGAATCCTTGTGAGAATTAAAATTATTTCCTTTACCATATTTAATCACCAATTCTACATGGGTTCCAGTTGAAGGTAGGGGCAAAGATAAGTACATGAAAGGGTCAAATAAAAAAAAACTTTTCTTTTACCTTTGCATATGCAGAGTAATGGCCACCACGAGAGACGGTGATGGTTTTTTATCGACTCCAAGAAGGGAATAACAAAAAATCATGTAAAAGAAGGAAGACCCACTACTAGAAAACAGACCTTTAATGACGCGCTTTTTACGACACGCACTAATTAATGATACGCAAAAGGACGTGCCCTTAAAATAGTGTTATCTCTCCAAAAAATTTAAGGATTTACGTCACGCATTATTACATGCCCTTAATTTAGTGTCTCAAGAAAAAAAAATTAAAAACACGGAGGGCGCTTTATTTTAAACGCACGTCGTCTGTACCTGTCACTTTATAATTTTAATGAAACGCGCTTTTAGTAGACAAGGGGGGAAACGGAATCTCCAAATTTTTGAAAACCCGCCTTGTCTTTTCTATCTTGTATCTATCTTTCATCCTTGCAATCCACTCTTCCCTCTCTGATACTCTCTCCTCTAGATCTCCTTTCATTCTCTACCTCCCGTGTCTCTCTATAAACCCTAAGCCATCGCCACCTCCCTTCTCTCTATCAAGTGTTAGGGTTTTATTTTCTTCCAAGCTTCCGCTTCTCTCATTTTCTCTCAACCCAGTACGTGCGAGGGTTATGAAATAAAGAAAACCCCAAATGCTCCACAAAGACTCCTTTATGAAAAATATCATGTAAATTCGTAGAGACGGAGTCTGAAATCATAAAGAGGAGAACAAGAAGATAAAGCGAATGTGAATCGTAATTGATCCGCGAGGTCTCCTCATTATTGGCGTCGACCAAATCTAAAACCTCGAATTCAAAAAAATTAGAAAAGTTAAAGACCCTGCCATTGAAGGGACCATTATCTAGATCTTTTTCAAGGAGTGCTCTCTGTAATGTTCTCTCCCTCATCTCACCTCCTATCGGTGACCTCAGGTCATCTTTTTCCACCGGCGACCTTGACTCATCTGTTTCCACCAGCGACCTCGGGCTCACCTCAGGTCACCGGAGACTACAATGACTGCTCAACTTTACAAGCCCTGAGTACGATTAAGGTATATTTTTGTTTACATGGTCGGCCTTATCTTTATCTCGATCCTTCTCAACAACAGTTGTCGACTTGCTCAGCCGACCGTTGTTCTCCACATCTCCAACTTCTTGCCTTCCCATGGTCCGTCAGTTAGATCTAATTTGCCAAAGGTATGTTTTGGGACCTAGAGACGTGTGCTCTGTGCTGTGGCCCAGTTGCCCACCGCTCGATCCTGTACTACCTAAAGCGATCTCCACATTCTCCAAATTAAACACGAATTGTTGTTTCGGGTGACAAATCTAAGAACCGAATACTTGACTAATATAGTAAGGGAACTTCTTCTATAAACCAAATGATCAAACTTTAATACAAATGATCCATCATACTCTGGGATGATGACTAATTTTTGTGTCTAACATGATTATTAAGATTATTTGGGCGGGCTAACATGTAAAATGGACACAAACATTGAGTCTTTAAACAATACTAGACTAATTTAGTTAGGGACCTTCTTTTAACCTAATGACCTGTCAGAAATGGGGATGATAACTAGTTTTTGTGTCTAACAATTAACAAGATTATTAATCACTTATTGGATTCTTCAGGTCATTCCCCACCACGTGATGATATGCTTAACATGAACTTTCAGGCCCTTCCTCTAGTAGATCCCTATATACCATCAGGAACATATTTAAGGTTATTTGATCAAATTTTCTTTCTTTTGTGTTTTGTCAGATCAGATGCTTATGAACCCATGCAATTCACTTATGTTTTGCTCTATATGTTGAACTTTCACCAGACATATGGGGACTCCTCATTCCAGGATTGTAAGAAACCACCAAGTCTATGTTTTGAAAGCCCTTCTAGGCTTCTTAATGGTGAAAGCTTGAAAGTCGAATCAATTGCTGATTTTGATCTCTTCTTTAAGAGGCTGTATAGCTACTACTGTGAAAAATGTCTATGTTGCATAATCATTAAGTGGATTGTTGAACTTTTGAGTTTGGCTTTTACCATATGTTTTTTGGGTATTTGACTTTTTTTTATTATTATTTGTTGATTGGAATGGTCTTCGAAGTGAAAACTATGGCATGCTGAACAAAGGGGTGCTAAGCTTCCTGATATCTTCATGGGTCCTGGGTGCAGGGCCCACCGTCAAGAAAGGTCCAATCTACTTTCCAAATCACCAGGTTTTCTGTCTTTTTTCTCTTAATAGTCAAGCATAATTTATATATTTAATGTTCTAACGCTTTGATTTTGATTTGGATGAAACCTATGTTGATACAAAGTTATATGTATAGATTTTGGTTTAGAATAAAGATTTATTTTGGGTTTACTCTTTTGGGAAAAAAAAGACTTATTTTGGGTTTACTATAATGGTAAAAATCATCTTTAATTGTGAATTTTAGTTAACTAATAAGCCCTTCTTTGTTTCCTGGTTGTTCCTATCCTAAGAGTTGGTCTTGCATCTGTTTTGACATTAAAAGAAACATCTAATAATATTATTATTGTTTATATTGTGGCCAGAATCAGCACCAGGGTACTCTTCAGGCTGTCTATTAAGCTCCATATTTGTTCACTGATCAACAATTTCCTTAAAAGGTTAGTATCTTTTCTTCAAATTGTTCTTAAAAAAATTTGTTCCCAAGCCTTATGTGTCTAAATTTAGTTATATTCCTAAACGATATTTAAATATGAATTGTTGGAGAAAAGAATTTTATATATCGAGGAATTGCTCAAGACCTTTGTACAGATGGGTGTAAAAGATTAACTTATTGCCACATATCTATTGAAACTGGAGTCATTGCTCAGGTAAAAACATTTTAAAATTCTTTTTTTATTTAATAAAAACACTTAGTTTATGCTCTTAATGAGCTTAATTAATGATAGGAAAATGGTTCAGCAAGAGTGAAGATGGGTAAAACTGAAGTCATAGCTTTGACTTGTCTTCTCAACTTGTTGACCAATAACCACAGAAAAAAAGTATTAAGAAAGAAGCTTGTTGGACTATATCAAACATTTTGCTGAGTTCTGATGACAGAGGCAGGCTTCTTAGCTTTAAGAAGAAAGACCTTATATGGGTAACCATACCATAACATGTCGTACTTCCTAATGCTATATATATATATATATATATATATATATATATATATATATATATATATATATATATAGTATAATACAATCTTACTTTTTTTTGTGGTGTACAGGTTTGTCCATAGGCAGCAGATGTAATGGAAGTCTTTATCCATCTTGGAGAGCCTTGTCATGTTTGTCAGCTTCTTGTGCAGATAGTTCAACATATACATCAAGAGTTGATGTGAGAACTGGATGTGATCTAGATGGGCTTAAACTTGTTGTGGAGGTCGGTCTAGCTCATCTCTCCCAAATCGGGCTAATTCCTAAAGTAATAGTTGTATAACAAAGGGTGTGGTTGTGTGCAAGGAGCCTCTATTCCTGAGTGTGCTAATGGGACAAGCATTGTGATACCCATACCAGGAGCTGTGAGTGATGAGGATATGGCTATGACAGGAGCAGGTACACGTGTACATGACCAAGATACATCCAAGCTTCCATTTTTATCTGATTTTGAAGAACTGGAGGGCGAATTGGATTTTCTAACTCGTGTGGTTGTACTCACATTCTATCCTGCTGTGCCAGCCAGAACCCCTATCACACTTGGTGAGGTACCGTACATTGACAACTTTACTTCCCATCATCTCACTTTATTTTTTCTGAGGTTTTTCATTCTGTGAAGTTGATTGCTATTTTGGTTCGGTTATGGATGTAATAATAGGTAGAGATACTTGTAATTTCTCTTCCATGAAGAGACCTTTTTACTTCTAATATGAGGTTATGGGAACATATCAATAAAATCAAACAAGATACTCATACCGTTACCATTACCAACCCTTTGCCCTCATCTGATGCAAACAACAATTCCTTTTCTACTGATGATAATTCACTAAAATCCAAAAATTCCAGTACCTCCTGGGTAAACCTGTTATCGGGTGATGACATTATATCTGTTTCACAACCAATGCGACAAACTACTTTACATGATCCATTTCTCAACCCATTTCATGATCATGATGAAGCAAGTGAGCCTCCTCCACGTAAGGTCTCTGTACCTGTACCAACTGAAAGTGGTTCATAACAGTATATAAGTTTTTTTAAGTTTTCAAAACAATTCTTTAGTTATGTTATGTTAAGATTTTATGGTATATAGTTTTTTATATAAACATTTAAGTTGGGGGTGATTCTTTTATTTCATTAGTTTTTTTTTATATTTTTGAACTTTTTTATTGATATAAAATATTATTTTCTGAAAATAACTAGATATTAATTCTATCTAGGTTGTAATCAGCTTTTGTTATGTTTGTACTTTGTTGATAGCAGTCTGAATTAGGAAGACCAAGTTCTGCCTCGAGACTCATAACTTCAGGTATGATAAGTTTTTGATACAACTATTCATAAAAATTGGAGCTTATGTGGTAATATATATGTGAACAGTTAAAAGGTTTTTGAAAATATCATTTCTTATGTATCAGAAAGATTAGAGAGAACCAGATATAAATTATAGTTGGTCAAGGTTTTAGTGTCAGACGGGTGTTACCTGTATCCGAAAATAAGAGAGAACGAGTTGAGTTGAGTTGAGTTAAGGGAGAACTGATGTAGAATAGATTATGCAAGATCAACAAACCTGATCGCAATGCCATGAAGGGAGCTCGGGCTGCTCGATTACACCGTAACAAAATGGTAATTTGATTATCTTACTGGAACTTGCCATATATTAATGTTCCTTTTTGAATTGAATCATAAAGAATGACTTAATAAAGAAAGTATGGGGAATTAGGCTTTACCCTTTAATTCCCGAATTTTTACATATTTTCCCCCATTGATTGTTTGGTTTGAATGATGTAGATGAGAGAGCAGAAGAGAGCTGCCCTTTTGAAAGAGAAAAGGACTACAAGTGCAACAATGTGAATATTTCTGGTTCCAGTTCCATCTCTATTTTGCAACTTTATGTTTGTTATAAAGTTTGTCAAAGGTATAGATAGATACTTAACTCACAAAATTACATGACCAATTCTACAATTTCTTGGCAATTCAAGAACTGATAAAAGAAATAAATAGTTTATACGAAAGTAACACATCTTAAATATTTGGACTAATAACTGTTGAATACTTGTTTCTAAATTTATCATTAATTTTTTTATATCACAAAGTGTCAATCTGTCTTGTTGGAAAATTAATTAAGTAATATTTCATCATAGATTCATCGAACCTTGGTGTAATTATGGAACCTTCATTGGCTGAACTGTATCACAACTTAAGAAAAGATCTCGCTGAGTTATTCCAATATAAAGTAAGTAATGTATCCTCTCTTATTCATTATTACTAAAATAATGATCTGGAACACTTCTTGTATAAAACTATACATAATCGGTGTGTTTTATTATGATTACAATAGTAATAGAGTTTTTTGAATAAAGCAGTTTTTTGATACTTCTGTTTATGGTAGTGGGTTTCCACGTGTAGCTGATGAAAGACCATCACCATTGGTATGTATAGCTTGAGTGCATCTGTGCCTTAATCTTAATTCAGTTTTATATTATCTTATTGTCAAGTTTGTTTAGTAAGCTTAAGAAGAGTAAACATGGTATCCTTATCTCATTTGCAGTCAAACCACAAGCTTCCGGGGCCAATTCAGTTGTTGAGACATTTTTTGAATTCAAACACCTTCTTGTGTATAAGATCAATAGCAAATTCAGTACTTTCTTGTGTATAAGTTCTATTAGAAGACAAACATATTTTTGATCCCTTTGAGATTTATCCATTTGTCTACTATTAGAATGATTATTTGTATGACAATAACTTTTGTGCAATGTATTATATTTTTTGTATATGGTATTTTATTTTCTATTAGGAGACATGAAATGGAAATTTAATTTGAAAATTAGTAAATCTATAAATAATTTTTTTTAAACATTTAAAATTATGATACGCAAAAATGTGTGTCATCTTCATTTATGACATGGCCTTTCTTGACAGGGGATTTCTTGATACGCATTGCGTGTCATTAACACGCGTGTCGTAAGGTTACGACATGCGAATGCGTGTCGTCTTCCTTTATGACAGGGCATTTCTTGATACGCATTGCGTGTCGTAAATGCGCGTCGTAATTGCACGTCGTAAATGAGCGTCGTAAATGCGCGTCGTCTATCGACGACACGCAAAAGCGCGTCGTTTCTCTTTATGACAGGGCCTTCCTTGACGCGCATTTGCGCGTCGTCTGAGTCCTTTATGACGCGCAATGAGCGTCGTAAAAGGCTGTTTTTCTAGTAGTGACCAACAACAAGAAAAAAAAGATGAATGAAACAGAAAAAAGTTGAAGAAAAATGAACTTGTAGCTAAGAAATTGAAGGTCCCTGGTATAGCCATGGAGTGCGACGGTCTCCAGCTAATGGTGGCTTGGCTTCACAGGGTAGCGATGGCTAATGGCGGTGAGCAGAGAGGACTCGACGATTGAGGAGCCAATGATCGAGATAAGCAGATGAAGGGTCTATGAAAAGTGTCGTTGTACAAAATGGAGTGTGATATGTTGGATTAGGGTTTTAAGAGAGAAGGAATCCAAGTAATTCAGGGTGAGTGTGATTATCGATGGGTAGAAGGGGTCTGTGGACAGAATGAGGGAGAGAATTAAGGCAAATTTGGTGGGTGGAGAGAGTACAGAGGTAGAGGAAGGCAAATTATGATTTTAGGGTTCAATGGTGGTGGCGGTGGCTTAGAGTTTGCAGAGAGAATGGAGGGATGGAATGCAGGTTGTGGGTGGGTGAAGATGTAGAGGAGAAATGTAACATCCCGAAATATCAAGAGTAGAGTTGAAGGGCTAAAAGAGTAAATTGGGAAAGAGCGACTCGGCGAGTCCATGTGTGGACTCGGCGAGTAGAGTCGCTACTTGGTCGCGTGTTAAGTGGCCGAATCGACGAGTCAGTGTATTGGACTCGGCGAGTAGGTGCTGAGTGGAGAAAACCCTAATTCTCGGGGTTGAGCCTTATATAATGATCATTATGTCTTCCTCCCAGCCTCTTTATCACCCCTTGAGCCCCAGAAAACCCTAAATCGCGGAGAAGCACCATTGTTGAGTGGATTGGAGCTTGGAGAAGTAATGGTTGAAGGAATTTTGGGAAGATTGAAGGCTTGGAGCAAGGGGCTTTGCTTGGATTCGAATTGCATTGCAGTTGGGGCATCACTTAGAGGTAGTATCTCGTTTTTGACCTGTTGATTATGTTGTTTCTTCATTTTGGGGTTTGTGAGAAATTATCTATGGATGAAATGGGAAGTCTAGAGGTTAGATCTGAGGTTGCTACCTTAGATCTGGAAGGGAGAAGAATCAGAGCATGAAAGTCCCTGTGTTGGAGTGTTCAGTGAAGCTTGCATGTCCCAAACCCTAGCCCTAATGTGCAAACGGCTTAGATCTCTTTGGATTCACGTAAAGTTTGCCACTTTACATGATGGATGAGTGGTAGGAGGCTAGATCTATGTCTTGGAGCAGTTGCATGGCCTGGAATGCTTCGGAATGTATTCAGACCGGCGGTACTCGGCGAGTCACATGGGTGGACTCGACGAGTTGGATGAAGATGGCCTGGAACTCGGCGAGTTGTATGAACAACTCGGTGAGTAGGTTGAAGATAGTCGTAGACTCGGCGAGTCTGTTCTTGGACTCGAGGAGTCTTGACGAAGAGTCCCAAATATTTCCTGGTTGAGTCGAGAATCGGTGAGTCAAGGGATGACTCGGTGAGTTGGGTGTGAGTGGACTCAGAGTTGTGGGACTCGGCGAGTCTCGGGGTGACTCGGCGAGTCTCGGGGTGACTCGGCGAGTTGAGTCGCGAATTGGGGAAGTTATGATTATGGGAACTCGACGAGTCACAGGTTGACTCGGCGAGTAGAGTCAGTCAAGGGTTGACCTAGACTGAGGACTTTGATTTCGACCAAGGGTTGGTCGTTGAGTTTTAGGGTTTGGACAGCGATGTGGCCTTTGGGCCAAGAGAGAGGTAAAATAGTCTTTTACCCATAAGAGGGTGTTATGAGAGGATTTATTCTAGCCTCGAGAGTTATATTCATGAGAGTATTTGCCTTACGTGTTAGGCGGTGGCGAGTTCGAGATTCAAGTGTGGGGATATCTACTTTCTGCTTGCCAGGTGAGTCTTCTCACTATACTTTACCTTGAGTAGGTAACCAAAGTTATGTGATCAGAGTATTTGTATGCTATATGTACGTGATGTGTTGTACTGCATTATTTCTATGTGATTTATGCTGTGCATGTTTATAGAGTTGGAACCGGAAGGTTCCCAGAGTTAGAACCTGAGGGTTCACAGAGTTTGGGTGCACAGACCCATAGAGTTATAGCCTCGAGTGGCTAATATGTGTTATGTGTGGTATTTTGGGGAACTCACTAAGCTTCGTGCTTACAGTGTTTTGTGTGATGTTTTTCAGGTTTCTTTCAGTATCACGGGACGGCACCGACTTGATTGTACACACCAGAGAAAGAGTCATATTTTGGAGGATCCTGGTTTTCTATGCAAGTGAAAATGGAGTCATGTTTTGTAAATCGACTATGAATGAGATTTTAAACAAGTGTTTCTAAGAATAAAATGATTATTTTAAATGAAAATTTTGTCTTGAAATTTACGGTGTTACAAGAAAGTGTAGAGGTAAAGGAAGGCGGGGTACTTCAGATTCAGTTGATTGAGCGCCATTTGTTTAAATTAGGGAGAATATGTGACGGCTAGGGTTAATGGTGGTGGTGAAGAACGTGGGAGGCCATTGTAGATGGAGGAGAAGGCGGTAGGTGATTTAGATGCGAAATGGTGATGATGAATGCGTTTCTTTTTAGAGAGAGAGAGAGGAAGACAAATTGCTTAAAGGTTTATTAGGGATTTTTGGTAGAGGATTTTAGAAGAAGAAGAAGGAGATGCATCAGCGGGCTGTTTAATTTTTTGGTATTTCATTTCCCCCTAAGAGAACGTGCCTTCCTAAAGAAAAATATAAAGCGACAGTTTTAGACGACACGCTTTTTTATGATAGGTGCCTTCCGTGTTTTTAACTTTTTTTGTTAGACACTATTTTTAGGGCACGCACAAATGCGTGCCCTGTATCCTTCAAATTTTGCAAAAGTGACATTATCTTTTAGGGCACGCACAAATGCGTGTCCTCTATCAGCGAGCGTCATTGTTTGCGTGTCATTAAATGGCTGTTTTCGAGTAGTGCCATTTTCTCCAACCGACTATGTAATCTTTAAGCAAGACATCTGCAATGCTTCTTCTCCTAAAGTCCAACAAAACATTAAGTCCTCATATTTATTTTAATGAGCAATCTACCAAAGCCGATGAACTGAAGATACCAAAGAATTGAGAAAGTAAATCACCAACCAAACAACCATTCAACCAAGTACATGGGTGTGGAGATAAGATATCAGGAATAACTATCATACCCACCTAGATCACTTCAGTGGTATTGGTTTATTTTTCAAAGTACAATCCTATGATGAGGAAATCAATGCAAGTCTTACATTTAACCTGTATTGTAATCATCATTTCAAGTCAATTGGGCCCCATTAGGATGTCATACAACCTTATAGCATTGGTTAATAGCATTTCGTCACTTCTTTTTAAATACTAATATATATATAAAAAGTAACTGAAGTTATTTTAATATTTTAGTCATTTTTTTTATCAAGACATTTTATTTAGCCATTTTTGAAACAAAGTAAATCCATTATTAACCAATGCCATTAGATAACCAAGTTAATCATTAAAAGTGACTAAAATGGGTGGTTCTACTTAAAAAAAGTCACCATTTTTTTCACCTTTTTAGCAGACCAACGAAACGCAAGAATCTAGATAATAAAAATAAAAATAGATGTTGTAAGCAATAGAGTTTGAAGTTATAGAGTTTTAAAAGGACATAAAGTCCAAGCAGGATGCTCAAATTGGTAGATTTTCAAAGTACAATGCTTTAAAGTGAAACAAAATGAAAGTACGATGTCGGAATTGGTAAACATTTAGAGTAAATTGGTTTAGAAATTAGATAAAATGAAAGTAGGATGTTGTAATTCATTGATATTCAAAGTCCAATGCTTAAAAAATGAAATAGAATGAAACTAAGATGTTGTGATTGGTAAATTTTTAAAGTTAAGTGCGTTAAAAAGAACCGAAACAAAACTAGGATGTTGTATTTGGAAGATTTTCAAAAACCAGTGTTGGTTTATATTCGGTAGACAACAAAATCACAAAAATTCCTTTGTTCTAGTGCAACCACTTCCATTATACCTTTTGTTGGAGTTGAAGTACCAATACCACCATAAGTTAGAATAATGAGTGTAAAAAGAATTGAGGAAACATAATTTCAAAAAGAGCTCCCTTAATTACTCTAGAACTCATCTCTGCCATCAGGTGAAATAATTTAAAGTGCATAAGTTTGACAAGAAGAAAAAAAATTAATCCAAACTCCTAATGTTTGCTATAATATCAGTAAGAGGAGTAACTTTACCAAAAAGCCTTTTTCTCATACTTGTTTTCAGTAACCACATCCTGGAATGTTTGCTTATGTCATCATACATTTAACTTAAAAACTTCAATTATTACATACATACATACATAACATAATCACAAAGAAACATGCATGTACATAAAAGTGTAATTATTAAGTATAACCAATTCAGCGTCTTTTTAGAACTTTTGCTCTCATTTTGAGTTCCTTGCAGTTTGGCATCTTTAACAAAAACTGCATAATCGCAACTCTGCATAAAGTGATGACTTAAAGCCCATCCGAAAACTTTCTGACACCAATCAACATAAAAAAAAGTGAAAATTAATCAAAAAATCAACACTCTGAATTAAAAACTTGAAGAGATAAAAAGAGGAAGCAGAAGGTAGAAGATGCTGGAGTTAATGGTGGTGGAAAGCATCGAGAAGAAAGAAAGATATAGAATGCATATATCATTGAACAACATTCACCAAGCGGCAGTCAGGGACTAAAATTGTCAACCCCTCAAACTATTGTGGCCAAAGTCTGAAGGGGAAAAAAATTTACTATTCATTTGGTCTTCCAAAATTTATATGTATATATAAGTAATTGAAAGACTATGGAAATCTCTGTTTTGAAGTCTGAACCTTCAAAGTTATTGAACAATTAGGGAAAACTAGAACTCTTTTGAAGTCGGAAATTGAGTTAATCAAGTGTAGGTTACATAGGCGGATCCACAAGGTATTCTGGGGTATCCCGGGATACCCCTCAAAAAAAATTTAATAGTGTTAGTTTTTTCAGAAAAATTCGTTTTATGTTGGAAAAAAAATTAAGCTACCCTAAAGATTTTAGATTATTTCTAAATGTACCAAAATATAAACTAGCCCAAATAGTCCAAAAATTTTAAGCCCACAATAATTAATTTATTGAAACAAATAGGTATTAAGCCCAATAATCTAATGAAAACAAAAAAAAGGAAAAAAAAAGACGTAATCACGTGAT